TTTTAAAGTGCTTTTTAGATAATGATTTAAGAAGTCTTCGGGGACTTGATCCAGCCCAGTGACTGCTGAAATGTTGAAGTAGTCGCCCCAGAATGTTCCGAAATAGCGAAGCAATCTCACTCTGGCGGTGTGACACTTCCCGTTCCTGTTTAATCCATCTTAGCGTGCACTTACACGAAGATTGGATAAAATATGCTGAAGCAGATCCAGGGGTGTTTTACAGCATTCTTGTGCTTCCTAAAGAGACGAGGAATTTTAGTCACATAAGTTTATTCACCCGGAGCCTTCTTTCATATTACATGTTTGCGTTGAGCTTTTGTGTGAGATGATCCATAGCTGGGTTTTCGCCTTTGGAGAAAGCTGCAGAAAGATAGGAAGGAGAAGGAGCGATTGTTTTGTGCCTGGAAGGAGCTGGTTAAGACGTTATTGGGAATTTTCAGTTTGGTTTGTGCTCCTTTTTTCTTTAGATTGCCTTCTGGTTTTTGCAGTCTGCCTACCGAGATCTTAAAGAGCCTGCCATTAGATCATAATTATTTATGTTCTAATGGGATTCCCTTCTCTGGAAATCCATTTCCCATTGTGCTTGGCAGGAGAGGAGGAGGCCACCTACGAAGTTGAAAAGTGATTATGCAGATGAAAACAAGGGAATTTTTGTTCACAGTTTAGGATGAACTGGAATAAAACATAGACAAGTCGGACAATAAATAATCAGAATACGAGCTCAATGACTGACAAAGCTGGATTGGAGATCGTGGCGAATGGGGCTTTTTCTTCTTTCTTTTCCGTGTCCCAACCTCTTAAGTGGCAGCAGGTGGAGAGCACACTCTAGAAAGCTGAGTATGTTCAGGAATGGGAGGCGAGCTGGAGAGTAGGTCGGGTCCACGTCGGAAGAGTCTTGATACCCATGTGGGGTGCGTGTGTCTGTGAGTGTGGCACACGGACACATATCCACATTCATAAGAACGTGTTGGGTGCATTTACGAGTGTCCCTAACGCCGGCGATACGATCAGTGTCGAGAAGATGCCTTCATCAACTCTTTAAGGAAATTGCCAGAATGTAAAACTTGGATCAGAGATGGCACATAAGTTTTATCTAATCTGGAGCTCGTTGCTGAGCAGTGGATGCCTACCCAAGGCCTATACTTAGGAAAGAAAGTAAAGAAAGGGAAATCCTTGACTGATGGGTCATGCCCACCATGGATACAAGAAGGGACACGGTGTGTTGTATACAACGTTATTTCCGTTCTTTTAATGGACTGTATGCACTGCATAGCTTGTGATAGTGTTCGTCTTGCTTGTCCCTCCTTTATTATTGCTTGTGACTAACAGTGAGCTCTAGTACTAAAGCTCTTTAATTTTATTTTTAGGCCTCAGTATGGTGGCAAGTTCTGTCCAGGTTCTAGCCGTGTATATCAGCTGTGCAATATTAACCCTTGCAGTGAAAATAGCTTGGATTTCCGAGCCCAGCAATGTGCAGAATATAACAGCAAACCTTTCCGTGGATGGTTCTACCAGTGGAAACCCTACACAAAAGTGGAAGGTAATTCAGTCTCTACAAACCTCCAACCAAGATGTCTCTCTTTGGACAGTAATGTGAATGAACACACAGGAGAAATTGGTGCCGGTACAAAAGAGTGTCAGTGTTGACATCATCCCCCAGACCCGTCCTGGCCCAGCTTTCTATTCACGTCCATGAGTTTTGTTTATTTTTCCCTACTTTTTTCTTCACAAGACACCCCTTGTCCCCCCACATCTGCAGCCAGAGGGTTCGTGTATTTGGAATGTACTTATGTTTCTAAACTTACCTTTGGCATGTCAGCAATGAAGTCTCCCAGGGATGTTAATTGAAATTGGTCTGAATTGTCCAGACCAAAAACTCGTGAAATCATATATGCCCCATAGAGACACCATATTCAGCAACTGACACGTCAGATGATTGCACGCTTGGGAAGGCCTATTTGCAGGGTATAAACACACATGCACACACACACACACACACACACACACACACACACACAGCCATGAATTTAAAATTGTCTCTCTTCTGGGTTCTCAGTACTTATTACTTAAAGTTATGGCTTATATTTTACTTTTTTATATTAAATTGTTTTTATTTTACCTCAGTATCAAAACATTTATTTTAGTCCCACAAATTTAATGCCTTACATACAAATTTAACGTCTTGCCTCCGCAGACGAAGCTGTCACCCTTCTGGTTATTTGCTTTCTCTTACTTCCATTCACTTGCTTTATCAAAATCCAGCCGTCCTCCCTTGAGAAAGGATAACTGTGAGCCCCCCAGTGCACACGTGCAGAATGGGGACACACTGAATTTAGTGACAGTTCGTGGGAAATAAACTGGAGGGATGTAGCTGAGCAAAAGCTCGAGATGAACTTGTGTTACCAGTTACAGTAGAGAAGGGAGCAGAGTCAGAGACAACACACAACACGTAGCAAATCAAAGGAGAGGGTCGTGGCGCTTTGCTCAGCACCGGTTCAACCATCGCAGGAGTGCTGACATGGTTCTGGGTCATGACTGTTTGTCCAAAAGCCCAGGTGGAGATGGACGTGAAAATTCTGAAATCTGTGCCTTGGGAGGAAGCAACGAGCAATCTGTACACGTTTTTTTTAAAAATAGAAACTCTGGGGCGCCTGGGTGGCTCAGTCGGTTGAGCGTCCGACTTTAGCCCAGGTCACGATCTCGCGTTCCTTGAGTTCGAGCCCCGCGTCGGGCTCTGGGCTGATGGCTCGGAGCCCGGAGCCTGTTTCAGATTCTGTGTCTCCCTCTCTCTCTGACCCTCCCCCGTTCATGCTCTGTCTCTCTCTGTCTCAAAAATAAATAAACATTAAAAAAAATTTTAAAAAAAAATAAAATAAAAATAAAAATAAAAATAGAAACTCAGCATTTATGGCGGTGTCCGGGGTTTTAAACCGCACTAAGAGATATGTACAACCCTTATTAATGAGTTTTAAACAGTTTTTGAAAGTTACACTCAATGGTACGCCTCTTTCGTGTTTTCTGGAATAAATGTGTGCCTGCAAAGTTAGCTTGTCTAAGGGCCATTTCATTTTCTCTTGGCTTTCAGTGATAAAGCTGGGAATACATTCATTTGACAAAGAATTCTCCAGTGGAATAATTTGGAAGCTTGCCAAGGGCAAGAAAAAAGTAACTAGCTACCTACAAAAATTCAGAGATAATAACTAGAAGGGGATTTAGATTGATTTGAAATCGCTTCAGAGGATAGACTTAATTCAAGAGCTAAGAACTTCCTAGATGTAGTACCTCCCCCGGGAGGCCTCTCTGGCCAGCCTGCCCAGAATATTCTTCCTTCTTGTCATCCTCTGAATCCTTAACCTGCTGGATTCTTCATAGCTCTTATTTGTGCATGAGCTTATATTATATAATCACTTTTTCATTATCTTTCTCCCCACAAGAATTTACATTCCGTGGGATGAAGCCTTGGTCCATTTTGAGCATGCTTGTATCTCCAGCATCTGAGAACAGCCCTTGCCACATGCTTGTAACTTCCAGAATGAATGAGCGAAGACATAAATCCCAACTGTCCGTAATGGATGTATCTCCCCTTCATGAGTAGTAGGCTCTCCTTCACTGGAGGCATCCTACCAGGGACTGAGTTATTATCTAGGAGGGGCTCTGCACACAGGTTCCCGGGGACAGTTAGGTAGAATACATTAAGGTGCTCTCCAGTCCAGCCTTTGAAGATTTATTTTCTCTTGGTTGTATACTCCCGTGGTTCCCTGTTTCTCACATATGGCTCTTTCCCCCAGACACTCTTGCCCTTCCTTTCACTTGCCCTTCTGTTCTTTGCTTTGTCTTCTTGGGTATTCCTTGGTCGTTCCCACAATGTGCCTTTCGTTCAAATTCAGTGTTTATGGAACGTGTTTTGTTATCACCCTTTACATAGGTTCTGTGTCGAGTACGTGAGGAGAAAGTTAACCAGCTAATTATTTTTTTACATTTATTTATTTTGAGAGAGAAAGAATCCCAAGCAGGCTCCACACTGAAAGCATGGAGCCTGATGTGGGGCTTGAACTCACGAACTGTGAGATCATGACCTGAATTGAAATCAGGAGTCGGGAGCTTAACTGACTGAGCCACCCAGGTGCCCCAAGCAAATAAATATAACCTGTAAAATAATTTTTAAATTTCTTTTATGTTTTTATTTTATTTTTGAGAGAGAGACAGAGTGCGAACAGGGGAGGGGCAGAGAGAGAGGGAAACACAGAATCCGAACACATGGGTGTACATGCATGAATGCACCTGTACGTGGCTTTTAAAAACCTGAATCCCATTTACAGTTCATGTAAAACTGCTTTAACACACAATGTAACTTTTATTGACTCTAAAGTGCCTGGGAAGTTTCTGGTATCACAGGCAAGAAGAAAAAAAATTACTGTGTTTCTACAGAGCTTGCTATCAGAAAGGAATTACGCCAATTTCCCAAATACGGGCTCTGAGCTGTCAGCACAGAGCCTGATGTGGGGTTCTAACTCACAGACCGTGAGATCATGCCCTGAGCTGAAGTTGGACACTTAACCGACTGAGCCACCCAGACACCCCACCTGTAAAATATTTTTTGGTTTCAAAGCTTTTCACTCATTTAATCACAGCCTTACTAAGTAAGGAGCCTGCCATTTTATTCACTCACTCACAGATGTTTACTGAGCATTTATGGCATAGGAGCCATTCTGCTAGATGCGGGGGAACAACGTTGACTTAAGCAGGGACCCAGCCTGGGGTCTCTGCTTCTTCTCCTTCTAATGTGTACGTAGAATCAGGAAAGACCGACCCTGATTTAAAGGTCTTGTGACAATTCAGCAGTTTGGGAAGAACAAGGGAAGATTCTAAATAAATGCAGGCAGTCTTTGTCTTCTGGTAGTGAGACTTTTTTCCTGCTTTGTTTCCAGTAGACTAGTTCACAGACTTGCCCAGGAGCTTGTGCGGGGAAAAACAGAACTTTCTAGAGCTTGTCAATTCCTAGGCATGATGGAGAAAAGAAAGGGTATAGATATGTCTTCCACAATCTCATGTGCAAGAATTAGGAGGTATTTAATAAGGCTATTAAAAGAAATTTCTAGGGGCATCTGGGTGGCTCACTTAAGCATCCAACTCTTGGTTTTGCCTCTCGTCATGATCTCACGTTCCCTGAGATCGAACCCCTCATTGGGCTCTGCGCTGACAGAATGGAGCCTGCTTGGGATTCTCTCTCCTCCTCCGGCTCTTCCCCTCCCCCACTTGCGTGTGCTCACATGCTGTCCCTCTGTCTGTCTGTGTGTGTGTGTCTCTCTCTCTCTCTCTCAAAATACATTAAAAAAAAAAAACCCTTAAAATTAAAAAAGAAACTTCTAGGTGAAGGAGAGACTTTTAGCCCACCCACACATCTGCATACTTGGATCACATTAATCTAACTTCTTTCGCATCGAAGTTTGGACTTTGTTCCTGAGAGGTTCTGTGATGCACAGCTATTTGAAAACTGTTTACACGTTTGTTGTGCAGCTGTCGTCAGGGCTTTCGTGTGCTGTCGCCCACGCAGTCTCCTGTGAGAAATGTCATCTGGCCGTGCTGGCCAAGAAGAACGATTTGTATTTGGGAAATTGGCATAATTCCTTTCCGATAGCAAGAGCTCTGTAGAAACACAGTAAAATTTTTTTTCTTCTTGCCTGTGATACCAGAAACTTCCCAGGCACTTTAGAGTCAATAAAAGTTACATTTTTTGGCCTTTAGGTTCAGTTTGTTTCCTCCTCATTTTTATGACATGGTTATTCTCTGTATGTTTTATAAACATGAACCATATGTCTTTTTTGTTGTTGTTGTTCCCCAAAGTGCCTAAACTTTTTTCTCAATAAATATCTAAAGTAATCCATGTCTTAAGTCAAGGTCAGCAAACAATGGCCTGAGGGACAAATCTGACCTGTTTTCTTTTTTTTAAATAAAGTTTTATTGGAACACAGAAAGACTCCTCCATTTTTATATCATCCGTAGTGGACCCTAAGTCCTGGAAAGCCTGAGATATTTGCTAACCGATGAGGGTAGCTGTACAACCCACCCATCACGTGTACTGTGGCTCTTACCAAGGATTAGAAAAATAAAATGGTTGTGTGTGAAAGCAGTTTTACATGAACTGTAAATGGGATTCAGGTTTTTTTTTTGTTTTTTTAATTTTTTTTTTCAACGTTTATTTATTTTTGGGACAGAGAGAGACAGAGCATGAACGGGGGAGGGGCAGAGAGAGAGGGAGACACAGAATAGGAAACAGGCTCCAGGCTCTGAGCCATCAGCCCAGAGCCCGACGCGGGGCTCAAACTCACGGACCGCGAGATCGTGACCTGGCTGAAGTCGGACGCTTAACCGACTGCGCCACCCAGGCGCCCCGGGATTCAGGTTTTTAAAAGCCACGTATACGTGCATTCGTGCGTGCACACCCATACCCACATACAAAATCGTAACATTGACCGTTTCAGTCACGGTCGCTTTCTAAATAAATGTAATGTACCCTTTTCGATCATCATGTCATTTTCCGGTGATTTCCTCCTGATCACGTCCTGTCCTGCTGTCTTTGCTTCTAGAGGCAGATCGATGTAAACTGTACTGCAAGGCTGAGAACTTTGAATTTTTTTTCGCAATGTCTGGCAAGGTGAAAGACGGAACTCCTTGCTCCCCAAACAAACACGACGTTTGTATTGATGGGATCTGTGAGGTAAGCGAACATTTCTGCTTTGGGACGTGTGGTCACGCTTGTGTTTCCTCATACCAAACGTGTACCGTGAGAAGTGGTACAAGAGATTCTGTGTCTGGAGAAAAGGCAGCGTAGGGACAAGGGCTCTGTTGGCAAATCGGAACTGAGGACTGTCTCCAATGTCCCCACTTACTCTCTGTGAGACCCCGTCGGACACTCTTAGTTCCTTCCTCTTCACTCCGTCCCCACGTGTATGCAATGGAGATGATGACATACCTTGCTACACCCAGTAGTCGCAACAATTAAATAAGAATATAGCTGGGGCGCCTGGGTGGCGCAGTCGGT